TTTTTTTTTTTTTTTTTTTTTTTTTTTTTTTTTTTTTTTTTTTTTTTTTTTTTTTTAGTTCCGATTTTCAAGGCACAATTAAATCAAAATAAAATAAAAATTATTAATTATTACACTAAATTATATCATATGTTTTTATTTTCTAATTTGTATAATTATATTTTTTTATAAAGGTTTGTATTATTATTATTATTATTATTTCGCCCACTAATTTAAAAAATTCAAATATAGCAATAATATATATATATATATATATATATAATTACAAATATAATAACCATTTATCTCAATAAATATATATAGAAAATAATGAAGGCCCGAACATAAATAATAATGTGAAAAAAGTTTGTAATAGTTAATTATTTTATTGGTCGAGTTCATATTAGATGCATCGGTTATAACTATACCAATAATATACATAATATCATTGGTATAGTTATGCGATTAACTGCCAATTTGAGCATAACTCAGTACATAATTAGGAAAAATTCAATTTTTTATGTTCGTGATCATGAAAAATGAGGTTTTTTTTCGTTCCGTGCTCGGTTTTCGTTTGATAGAACCGCTCACTAGCTAGTGGGATAGATAAGATGAGTTGGGCCCTATATTAGGGTTTAATTTATTAATTTAGGTAATGAAAAATAAAAATCCATAAGAAATCTTAGGGTATTTTCACGGCGGAATTGAAGGGAAAAATATTCACTAGAAGACAAAATGGGCAGATGGAGACAATAATCGGTTTCAAGTCCGCCTTCCCTCCCAAACCCAGAACGGGTTCTCTCGTTTCTCGTTCATCTTTCACATCTTCAGGCGCTCTTCACAAAAAGGCCATTGAAATCCTCCTCAATTCCTAATCCAGATTCGTCGTATTCATGTTTTATTGCATCAAATTCTTGCAATCACTGTCTTCTGAACTTTTTCGAGCCGATCGAGTCTTGATTCTCACTCGATCCGTCTTTTGTCTGCAAATTTTGATTCTTGGACTTCAAGGGTTGCCGTGGAGCTTGGAGTTGCGGCCAGATTCTGCGTAGACGCTTGTTCGGTCTGTTTGTTCTTTGTTAACTTTTGGCTGCCTGTGTGCTTGTTGAATCTTGAGGAATTTTATTGGTTTTGAGAGTTGGGTTTGTCGCGAAGTTGATTTTCCCTACGTGGGTTCAAGTTGGTTGGCGTTGATTTTAGTGGAAGGAACTTCCATGGAGTATGAACTTTCGGATAGCAGTGGTGAGTTAATTGAAAAGTTTGGTTTTGAAGTTTCGAAGGGTTTTCTAGGGCTCAGTAGCAATAGTTTTCCCGAGGAATTGTGTTTTTACTCTTGATAATCGCTAGGTCTTCTGTTTGCTATTTTGAGTATTCCATCCAATCCCAGTTCGTTTAGTTCCTCTGTTCATTTATAAACGAATTTCATTATGAAACTGAGTAGCTTTATGTTGATTTCTTCTTTTTTATTTTCTTGCTCACCTTTGTTGCTTGCTTTACATCCCTTAGCTGTTTCTAGACTCTTTAGTGTCGCCCTTTCTAGACTCTTTAGTGTAGCCGAGGGCATAAGGGGCACGATGACTTGACGTCGTCCTCACCTTCCTTCGACTTATCACGGGCAGTCTGCTCAGGGTTCCAACTTCAACGGTTGGCAACTAAACACGAGAGTTGCGCTCGTGCGGGTTCTGTTAAGTTAGATTTCTTTCTTTCCATCAGGCCTTTTCGATTGTACATTGCAGCAGCCTTTTTATTTTCAGCAATCCGGTAGACTGGATATTGCCTTCTTGCCACGTTATGTTGTAATGAGGAAAATTTCACCAAAAAGAGTCGTATGTGCTAACTCTAAAATGGAATGAAAGAAAGCTTATGTCGTCCATTATGCTGTGTCTATATAGTATTTCTCTTTGGCTATAAGAGCTTTTTCCTTTCTCTGTTTTGATTTAGCTCATTTCTTCTAGTGTTATAATGTGTAATGGATTGACATTTATATTCGGTTTAAATTCAGTTGTTTCATACATAATGAAGCAACTGCCCGTGAGACGGTATGGAAGGTGCCTTATGAACTTGCTTGGAGGATTTTGTTATATAATATATTGTTCCTAGGATGGCAGCATCCATCTGGAGATCCCTTTTTCTAGTTTTAAGATTTTTTTTATGTAAAATGACTGCAGGAACAGATGATGACCTTCCTCCTCCTCATCAAAATAGATTTCAACGAGGTGGGCTTCCTGCTGGGAATGGAAGATCTGCACCAGTAAATTCTTCTACATTACCCAGGATGGTCGGCGATATGGAAATGCAGATCCACCACATTGAGCAGGAAGCATATAGTTCGGTCCTGCGTGCTTTTAAAGCTCAATCCGATGCAATTACATGGGTATACTTTTCTCTAATTGTTCGTTCTTTGAATTCATCAAATTTATGTTTATTTCCAGCTTTCGGACTCCTTACGATCTTAACATCTATCAGGAGAAGGAAAGTTTAATAACAGAATTAAGAAAGGAGTTGAGAGTATCAGATGAAGAACACAGAAAACTTTTATCTCGGGTAAATGCAGACGATGTCATCAAAAGGATAAGGTTTGGTTGTTGTCTTTTATTTTGCATATGGTATAGCTGGTCCTGTAACTCTATTTACCACAGTTGGTGTGGTTCGTGCTATTTCGTTATTCATTGTTATGATAATGCACTTAGGGAATGGAGAACAGCAAATGGGCTCCAACCTGGAAAGCTCAATGCTGATCAACCCATGGCGGATCCCGTACCCAGCCCCACTGCTTCAGCATCACGGAAGAAACAGAAAACATCCCAAGCTTCCCTGTCCCAAGGTGCACCTACTCCTGCAATACCTACTGGTACACAACCATCTTCATCGGCCATGAGACGTGGTCCTCCCCCTGGTGCTAGAACTACAAAGACGAAAGCAGTAAGTTTTATAATTCGTACCTGTTGAAGAATTTAAAGTAATTTTTGTGGTTAATTTTTATTATCCTCAATTACTTGATCCATGCATTGCATTAACAGCAGCGCTTGTTGTGAAGTCCATGCATACAGGTCTTACTGGAAGTGGCCAAGTGAATAATCGAGGTTCTTTAGGGGCTTTTGTTTCAAATGAAAATGCTGAAGGAGCAACCGAACCGTTAATTGGACGGAAAGTTTGGACTAGATGGCCTGAAGACAACAGCTTCTATGAGGCTGTTATAACTGATTATAACCATGCTGAGGTATGTTTTTCTAATAATTTCATTTTACTTCACATGTGGACATGGGTTATCCTTGATCGCATTGTCCCTTATTTTGGACAGGGTCGTCATGCTTTGGTTTATGATATTAATACAGCACACGAGACATGGGAATGGGTCAACCTTAAAGAGGTACTCCCCTCACCCTCAACATAAATAAATAAATAAACAAGGGGCTTGCTAGATCGCCCTTTTGTTTACGTATTTCTCTCTATAAGAATGTTTCTTTTATTAAATGGCTTCCTCTTCACTTCTTCAAGCTGACAAAAGAGAAGTATTTCGGATTTTGTTTAGTTTATATTTGAAATCAATTTTATATTTCCTCAACTAGGTTAGAGTTAAACATATAGGTGGCATGATTAATACGATGTTTATAATCACATTGCAATATTCTGTGTACACGATCAAGCTGAGCATTTACTTAGTTCTATTACAGGATGGGATTTGTTTGATATAGTTTTTGCAACAGTTGTTCACTGGGTGAAGTAATAACTACATCATATAGTCATGTAATGTATTCTGGTGCATAATTTTAAGCTTTTAGGTTACACTAGCAACTGGAAGATAATTTAAGCAGCAATAAATGTAGATTAAACTCGTGATTTAGAGTGGAAGGATTCCTCTTTGGATAATAGGTACTGTAACTGGTATTCCTGTGATCGATTTAGTCGGTATTTTCTTTTATGGTTCATATAGATTGACTTGTGATTTAGAGTGGAATGCTACCTTTTACATTTCACTGTCTTCCGATCTAATGGTACACTTGACCACTTGCTAGTTCACTGCTTATGATCTATGTATGCAGCTGTTGAAGAATTTGTATTGAACCACGAACAGCCATAGCTTTTGATTTTAAACCAGATGACCTATAGTGTCTGAAAATGTTGCTTCATTTTTCACGTATTGATCAGACTATTAATTGAATGATGAAATGACTGGCCATAAACTCAGTACTCATATTTCTTCTGGAATTCCTGATCTGAAGAGGAATATTGCCCCTTAAGAATCATTTATACATCTTTCCTGTTAGATATCCCCTGAAGATATTAGGTGGGAACGAGAAGATTCTGTAGTATCTCGCAGTGGTGCTCGCCCTGGACACGGGAGGGGCAATAAGAAGTCCATGACACGAGGCGGTGCAGTGGCTGCTGGTGGAAGGGGCAGAGGGACTACAAAGGGTCAATCTAGGAAAGACTTACCTGTATCTCAAAATGGATCTCGGAAGCAGGCTATGGGTGATATTGAAATACTTCACACCGACACGCTGATTAAGGAGGTGTGGAAGAGCTAATACAATTTCGTTATACCGTTCTTTTGTTTTTTCTTCTTCTTTTGTTGATTAAGTGATGACCTTTCTTTTCCTTGTTGCTGGAGTTGTTCAAACAGGTGGAAAAGGTATTTGGTGCTAATCATCCAGATCCCATGGAGATTGAAAAGGCTAAGAAAGTGCTGAAAGTACGAATTGTTTAACGTCGACCCCCCATTGCTATGACTTTATTTATACAACTTATTCTGAGTCTATTCAAATGCAGGACCACGAACAATCCCTTGTCGACGCAATTGCAAGGCTTGAAGATGCATCGGACGGTGAGAGTGGTAATAACTAATTAAACATGCTTACTGATGTACAGTACATAATTTAAATGATCTTGCATTGGTTGTGTATACGTACATGGTGCCTAAAAACCTTCATTTTCTTCTACTATGCTGTCTTTTTATCAACGCCATTGGTCTCCCAATTTTGTAAAAATTCCTCACTCCAATTATAGACTTCTATTCATTATCAATGTATTGGTAATAGCTTTTTATCATCAAACCTTAGCAAGATCTGATCATTAAACTTGCATCTTGAGTTATGGATTGTACCATTTCATCACCCCAAATCTCAATGGATTGTCTCTTTTTCTAGTTTGAAATAGCAAGAACAGTGTTAAATCGGGCTACTTCGGTAGCGAGAACACTACGTTTCTTCCTTGTTTTATTATTTCTTTTTTGGGATTTAAGCAGATGGAAGAGAACCATATTCTCAAGGACAATCAATGGTTCGTGTATGAACGACGATGTAAAGTGGACGAAGCTCCAAAATGGCCAAATTCTTAAACCTGCAGGCTGCTAATAATTGATGGCAATGGTGATGAATTGCATTAGTTGAATGGAAAACTCAGCAGAACACTCCCTCCGGTTTGGCGTTTTCGAACTTTAATGATCAACCGTGCTATTATCGGTGCCTTGGCCTTCAAGAACGCAGACTTCACGCCCATTTGATGCATCTTTTGATTGTACTAAGAGTTATTGTTTTATTTTGATCCCTAGCTTTAACTTCAGAAGAAGGATTATTTCTGTAAAACTTTATTCAAAAGTCAATAGAATCTATGTAGATTAGTTCTTGCTTTTTGCTGTGATAATGCACACAATCTATTAAGCCAAAGCCTTCGATTTCCTACACAACATTCTGAACAAGTTGAACATTCTACAAAGAAGAAATAAAACTAAGGATAAGATTCACCATTTGAGCATCATATGCAGGGCCTTCCATTTCAAAGTGGCTCACACCTTCTATTAGATGTGTTTCGTTACGCCCTGCTGCAGATTTCAACTTGTTCTGCAATTGCTTCACGCTCGTGAACCCGTCCCGTGTGCCCATCACGAAAAGCTTCGGTTTCGGAGACTGTAAGATGGCTTTGTGGTGTCTTCCAAAAAGAATTGAAGCAGTTAGGCCAAAGGGATAGCCAAGGCTTACATAGCCTACCACTTGTTCTATCAAATCCACAGATGAGCCTGCAATGGGGGCGCCTGCAAAAGACACAATTACAAGTGATTCAGAATAATTCCATCTGCTCTCTTTCTGTCCCCACAAATTAATAGACATGTTCTTGGTCCAATGAACTTTATTAGATGCATCATCAATGTGGTACCACATCCTCTCTTTATTCCACCTAAAATCTTGCTTTGAGATTTCAAGAAATTGGACCGTGACCGAAATACGAAATCAAACACAAACAAAACATCAAAATAAAGCAAAACATTGTTACAGTCCAAACTCACCGCTAGTAGATATTGTCTGTTTTGACCCGTTACGTATTGTCATCAGTCTCATGATTTTAAAACGCATCTACTTTGGCGAGGTTCGAGCCATACTCCGACCAGTGCCTCGCACTGTCCGGTCACTGGCTCAAGTTTGGCAATACAGTTTATCCCAATACAGTTTATCCTTGAATGATCTAGATGGTACGTGTTCATCCTAATAAAAAGAAAAAGAGCAAAGAACTATGCACAAGGAGGCAACCATCCACAGATAAAATGGTGACATTGCTACTGAACTAAAGAACACCTGCTCAATCAAGAAACAGAGAAGAAAAACCAAGCCTAAGTTCAAAGAAACGCTTCCATTTGATCAATTCTTTAGATCTCAGAAAACTATTCTCAGAATTCATTGTACAAACAGATATCAAAATGGCAAAGTAGAAGAACAAAATGAGACAGACAACTAAGGAACAATTCACCAACAAAGGCCAAAAGCCAGCCACAACCACACAGAATTCCATAGCATAAACACAAAAGAAGAACAAAAAACAAAGTACCTGCAGATGAACCCACCAACAAGATTCGATTAACAGACAAATTCTCACAAACCCAGTTGCAAACAGCAGTGACATCCTTAATTTCTGCGAATCCAGTCAAAGAAGGCCTACCAGACGATTTCCCAGCACCTCTCATATCAAAAGTCACAGCTCTAAAACCCCTCTCCGCTAAGCCACCTGCAATTCCTCTCAAAAGGCCTTGACAACCACCCAAAACCGAGTAGGGATGGACCAAAACAACCACCAGATTTTCCCTATCTTCCTCATCTGTTGGCTTGAAAACCCTCGTGTGGAGCTTGACTCCATCACTGGTCTCGACTTTACAAGAGTCGACGGTGCAGTTCGCCATCGCCAAGAGTTGAAAAAACAACCGGCAACGAAGAGGAAGTGAAGGCTTGTGAAGTGGAGAAAAGGATTTGAAATGAATTTGGTTGGACAAAAATGTGACGAAAATGGTAGAGAAAGGGTTTAATTTGGTGGGGAAAGGACAGAGTTGAGAATGAATGTGAAGAACAAAATAAAATATGTTGGAAAAGTTCATCCTTTATTCATTGTCTGGCTGGAGTTTGGTTGTTGAGTTTTTTTTTTTTATTATTATTATTATTTAAAGAAGTGAGTACTTATATAAAATCTTATATAAAATTCAAATTTTATAGGCTTGAATTTTAGTTTTTCAGAAATTAAATTCAATAAAAAAAAATTACAAAATAAAAGCTAACCCAACCCAACTTCAACTTTTATCATTTTAGTTGGTTAGTTCGAGTGGATCAGAGTGATATACGCATATTCAATAGATTCATGAGTTTTTTTTTTTTTAATGAAAAATAAATGAAATAATTCAAAGACCTATGCTTCAACGTCAAGAGAATTATGTGGCACAAACTAGAAAGTTCAGTAACTCTTTCGATAATTTTTCGAATTAAAAAATTTAATAGATGCATAATTGAAAGTTTATATGTGATGATGTGAAACCTTCCCCTAGTAGACATAAGAAATCTGAAAGGGAAAGCCCAAAGAGGATAATATCGGCTAGCAATGGATTTGGGCCGTTACAAATGATATCAGAGCCAGATACCAGACAATGTGTCAGCATTCTCACTGTTCCCCGAAGGAGGGTAGACACGAGGCGCTGTGCTAGTAAGAACCTTGGGTCCCGAAGGGGGGTGGATTTGGTGGCAGTCCCACGTCGATTGGAGAAAGGAAAGAGTGCTAGCGAAGACACTGGACCCCGAAGGGGGTGGATTGTGATGTCCCACATTGGTTGGAGAGGAGAACAAAACACCCTTACAAAGGTGTGGAAACCTTCCCCCTACTAGACGCATTTTAAAGCCTTGAGGGGAAGCCCGAGAGGAGAATCTCAAAGAGGACAATATCAAATAACGGTGAATCGGGGTCATTACATATATACACATGGTTGCTAAGCTAAACACCAAATATTAGAGAATAATCATTTTTTCCCTACTTCAAAAGACGTGGTGATTCCCAAGTAATATTAACATTATACAAAGGAACAAAACAAAAACAAAGAAATGGAACTTACAAAAAAAGTATGAGTCAGGTTGTCATAAACCACTGAAGGGCTCTCTTAAAATCCTCCAAATTATTTCTACAAACCCAGAAAAGGTCTCCCCCATATCTTGAAGCACAGCAGGTGGAAGCATCATCATCACCTCCAATATCAAGTGGCAAGATGATCATAAGATGTTCATAAGATGATCACAAGATGATCCATCAAGGGCCGCAACAACATAGAAAAACATCTGGAATAGAGTCAGAGTCACTAATCTAAATACATTCTGTTCACTTTTGAATATCAAGTGGCAAGATGATCATCAATCTTCCCACGCAATGTGGAAGTTTTGTCCAGGTTCTAACATGGAGAATGAACAGGGAACGGAAGAGTGAGTGAGAGTCACTTAAGAGAGAGAGGAACTCTTGTCCCTCTCGCGCGAAGAATACCTTTGTTTTCGTGAACAGAACAAAAACATTTTTGAACCGTTTCCACAACGAAGGAAAAAAGGACGAAGATCCGTTTCTGTTCAACTGTTCACGAATGAGAATGGGGAGTTCGACCTCGTAAATTTCACCTACATTGGTCGTATATCAGACATTCAGTACAGCAAACGTGAAAGTGAAAATTTGAACATCAGACTGTAAGAAAGAGTAAACCATTTCGACCCAGGATCAGCCTTTCCTTTATCTTCTTGAAGCTAGTTAATATGGCATATAGATCCATATATAGTTTTTAGTAGGTAACATTCATGCTAGTCTCACATACCTAAATAAACAGTTTATCCAGAGTTATTTCAGGCCCTTTCTTTCTTCGTCCGTGTCATGCATTGGCCCCTGATCCCGATTGCATGTCAATGTAAAATCGGGCACCACCTCAATGTTCTCATCAGGCTATTAAAAGAGTAGGAGGGAGGATAGTCAAAACAAATGAAAATTATTGGAAGATATTTCGATGAAACGAAAAGGGAACACGACTGTAGTACCTGCCACAGTTTCAAAAGATACCATAGCAAAAAGTCGATGATCATCACTAAACAAAAAAGCTTTCCTGCCCACGATCCACACGAGAGATACCTGAAATATAGATAATAGTTGTGACGACCCCTCAATATTATTTTACAGGCAGCAAGTTGCACCGAAGGACAAATCAGATTACTCAAGATTTTGGACATCAGGCTAGCTTAATTGAGGGTTAATATTTGGTTCAAATACTATTTTGACCATGTACTTCAGGTTTCGTTCCATTTCAACCCTTGTACTTTCATCCGACCCTAAAATTAGTCGCTTGAAGCTAATTTTTATCGAAGTTGGTTAAATAATAATATAATTTTCATGCAATAAAAGGTTTGAGTTCCCATTGAAACATATGAATTATCGCATACCTGGAGAGTCGTTCAAGAAGATTTTGATCCGAGCTTTTCACAGCATAGTCATATACAATAACTGTCCTCCTTGCAACATCATGCCAATCATACAATTTCTTCATCTAAGAGTTTATTTTTTGTAGAATGAGAGAATAATATTAGTACATATAGATATTCCAAGATGTTCAGAGAAAAACGTTTCTTCTTTTTTCCTTCAAAGAATGCACTCACACGATTATGCATTTCTTGTGGGTCAATCTTAGGAAGTATGGTAATTGCCTTCTTAATAGCTTGTACCATATCACCGGGATCTGGTTCTGCGAGTACGACCATGTCATCTGGTAGAACCTAACAATAGAACAGGAATAGGCAAAGTATAAAATGAACCAAAAAGTTTGAGAAACTTGAAGTATAGGAACCAAAATGGTATTATATATGAAATATGAAAATAGAAGAGGTAAAAAGGAATTTCTATTCTTGACCACCTCGGGCACGCCTCCAACACGCGTACTAACAGTTAATAATCCACAACTAGCCGCCTCTAATATGGCTATGCAAAAAGCTTCCGTTAAAGAACTGCAAGAATGGTAACAATAGAAACATCAGAGAGCTACAATTAAAGATTTTTTTCAAAAGAATGAAAACATTTAGTTTAAAGCTCTAGAGTAAAATATGTACTTCAAGTATAAACTCAAGAAATGGCAACCTATTTAGAAATATATGGCCAGATATAAGGACTGATCGAACTCGAGCATGTGGAACAGCTCCCAACATCTCAACTCGATCTTGAAGACCATGCTTTTCCCTCATCTCTTCTAGCCGCACACGTTTTGGTCCATCTCCTCCAATAATGAATCGCACCTATGACAATTACATATAATCTAAGGATCAAATAGTCCAATTACATCTTTCTGCAGAGGAACATACTGAT